AGATCACCACTTCCAAGACTTCCTTATCCAAACCAGCAAACATATCTTTTTGAAAGATTGATTCTTCAAAAATGCCTTCGACTTATTATATTATTGTTATTGAATATTTTCGCCAGTCCTAATTTTTAAATTTTCTGCTCGCGACGATCATTCTCATCAGTTGGCTGTGTCTCGTTACCAGCTCGTTATGGTTGAGTGAATCAGCTGACTCCCTGTCTAGTGCAAATTTCCGAATCGTTATTTTACACATAATTGAGACATTTTCATAAGTGAAAACCCATATAAATGAAAAAAACGGCCAAATTTACATTGGAATATCTAATGTTTGACACGATTTTTTATGGGGTTACCGAATGCAAGCCTTTGAAAGTCGGTACATTTTAGGAACACTAGCTCAAAACCCTGTAGCACCAGTTTTTTTCACGAGCCTCGTTTTCGAATACCGCGCTCCAAAATCGAGTGCCGTCACCGTCATTGTGGTCGCCCATCCCTCTATTTTAAATTAAAAATCAATCGTTTCATCCCCGCACCCCCCTTTAACGACTGAAAGTGGATGGAGCAGGTAGATAGGTGTAGGAAGAAAGGACAACAGCGCCTCTCCTTTATAAGTAGATTACGATAGTTTGGTAAGTTGTACCGTAATGGGTCCATTTTATTAATTAGTTATCAGTGTCGTAATTCAGTCATTTTTAGTTTGGTATGAATATGCTAATTATGATGATAAAGAAGTTTTAAATAGAATTGTCAAACGTGCTTCTCGAACAATCGGTATACAACATCCTTCATTAGACACTCTGTATAATCAACGTATCATCAATAAGGCAACGTCCATTATCAGTGACCCTTTTCATCCTGGTAATTCTCATTTTTGCCTCATGCCATCTGGTGAACGTTACAAAACTCCATGTGCATCTCGTACAAGATCAAGAGCTTCATTCTTTCCGTCTGTCATCAAAGCTATAAATGCGTGGTTGGTATCCAGAAATTAAATGTTTGTCTCCCTGTATAGTAGTTATTCATGTTAATTAAATTATTTATATTGTGTTTATCGAGACGATACTATTTCATTGTATGTTTACATGCACATTTGACAATAAATTTAATCCGTATCTGTATGACAGCCGCTGTCATCTTTTACTCAAGCAAATCTTAAGAGCGAGGCTTGCATGATCAATCACAAGTGGGTGCGAGTATTGGGCGATTTGGAACTGTCTATTTTCCAACACGGTATAATTTTTTTTTTTAGTACGACGACTGTAGATTTGAGAAATTATTCATCATTTCTGATAATGACATGCTTAATGTCGAAATATTTAATCCCAAGATGATGGCGTGCATTTTAATACTTATCATACTGTACTATCTTAAAGGCATGTTGTACGAGAAGTTTTCACCGAGTATACAATGGACTTGTTTCCGGGCTTGTTTATTCAATATTCCAGCTGATTTTGGTTTAAAATAACTAGTTTTATGCATGAAATCCACGTAAATTCAAATAATAAAGGTTGTTTTATCAAATGTGTATGTTTATGCTTTAGTTGCATTCAACATCAAGTCTTCGTATGTTTTGTTTGCATTCCATTCCAACTCTAACGTTAATAAAATCGTGCTATTGGTACTCATGCTTCATAGAGTTGCAGTCTTACAATACAGACATTTTATGCCGTTCAACCTAACAAACTTGAAGGCTAGCTGTGCGCCAAGAGTTACTACAGCTGGTATTTACAGACTATATGAATGCGAATTTGTGTTGTAAACATACCGTGAACCAGGGCCTAGGCTAGAAAAGTAAAAAGTATGATAAATAAATTAAATATTTAAGATTCTTCGTTATTACAGATATAGAAATTACATTTTTGTTTCTAAAATGAGGAGCAGCATTTTTTAATCGGGTCTAAAAAATTGTTAATTTCTTAATTGAAATTCCTCAACGAATGGAGTAATTTGGGAGTTTTTCAAGCTCGTTACAAATTAAAATAGGGTTTTTTAAATGTTATATAATTTTAACAGTAATATTATAGTGAAGTGTGTAAATTGTTTCCTTGTTTTGGATCCCCTTCCAGATCCAGTCAGGCGGTCTAGTAAGCACCGTTAACTACTGATCAGTGTAATCCTTTTCAGCCTGCTGAGTTTATATCAGGGATTAGTAGATCTTGGTTGAACTCCGGGTGTATTGGCAAGAAAGCTTAAGGAGTTGTACACGTAATGATGGGATCAGAGAGGTAGTACTGTACACTAAATTGGTATTTATCTTATCTTTCAGAAATTTTGTTGGATTGGAGCCAAAACTCCAACTTGCACTCGAAAGAAATTCAAAATAACGATCATAATAATGTACAGTACTATACATACTTGTTAATGTGTATAGAAACTTTATTCTCTCTTTCTAGGTCAATAATATATGACTTACCTTCTAGCTTACGAAGAAACACAGCCCAGCAGGCGCCGCAACAGGGCGAGTAATGCAATGTTTTTCACTCGATCCATGTGCTTGTGGCATCAAGATACCCTGTACGGAATAACCTGGAAACTAGGGGTTCACAACTTTTTAAAAGAAGAGCGCTGATTGGCTGTAGACACGGCGTTTGGACTTCTTTTTTTTTGTATGCAATACGATTGTTCTATGCCTGCATTTATGAAATGAATATTAAAGTTAAAAAGAAAATGTGGGTGTCAGTGTCTTAATTTATTGGGGAAATAATGAAATGGTAGATTTGATAAATAAAATCCATTCATAATTAGAGGGTTCATTAAATTACAATATGAGGGTGGTGTATTCAGAGATGAATAGATCATGCGCCTATCGATATGCCGACAACTTACGCATCGGACGGAGTTTTCTCACGGCTGCAGACATGAAGTATGATCACTGTGTTGAATATTGGTGTATTCAAAGTGCACTATCTGTGTTTTGTATTGTAGAAGAGATCGATGACAGTGTGCAGCAAACCGTGAATAAACTATAGCCCGCGCCTAACGATTAATTCTTGACACGGGTGTCTGTTTTGATTAAGAAATAGGAACTTTATTTATGACAACAATGACATGATTTGATGTTCGTAAAATCGGGGTTCGTAAATGAGGGGTTCTACTGCATCACAGTATAAAAAAATAATTAAATATCAAGGATTAGATTGGATATTAAAAACATAGGATAATTTTGGAAGAATTGCGAGACTGTTAGATTCGATGAGAATTATTTTTTCCTTTTTTTTTTTCGTCAGTAAAAACAAAGTATGAAGTCATTCTGAAGAGAAATGTCAAGTAGTGAATCTGAAACTTCCGACCGGCCTTATGTGGGACGAAGTCGCCGTGTACTTCCAACTCCTCCAAGGAGAAGACAAAGAATTTCCTCTTCCTCATCATCAATTGGTTCAGATCAAGTAAAAAAACTAACATCAACTTTACGAGTATGTACCAATTCTTTTTTAAATTAAACTACCGTTTTGACTAACTTCATTGATCAGGGGCAGATTTAGGAAGGCCGTAAGAAAAAAAAATGAAAGAAAGAAAGAAAAAGAAAAAATTGATCACTCAAAACGCATCAGAGTTAATATTTTTAATATTAATTAAAAGACCTTGTTAACTCATTTTGTTTTTTTGTTTTTTTATATCTGCTGCACTTACTGTAAAAGAAATGGAGAGGGCACTTTTTTCTTCTTATTACAAAGTTTGCCTCACACACCCTCGTACAGTTATATGACTTGGCCTAGGTCAATGCCCACACAGAATGCTCTGTTGCTTGCAATTATTTTGTGCCAGATTCTTTTTGTAATTGTGGCTTGTAATATTAAATAACAGCACTTCAAAAAAAGAATGTGAAACTCTTTTTTTGGCCTTATACCTTGTGCACTTTTTTGTAGAATGATCCTTTTGTATTCTTTAAATGTAACCATTAATGTTGGTAATCATTGTAAACTCTAATGAGTAAATTACTATGAATTATGTTTTCTAGGATGCTGATAAGAATCTGTATTCTGTTGATCATATGCTGAACAGCTACAGAGGTTCCTCCAACCAACAGATGTCAGCCATTAATAGGGTACAGTATTTGTTATGCTGTGAATAGGCGTATATAGTAGCGTTGTTAATGTTAAATGTGTTCTGAGCAATTGCTTTCTTAATACAGCAATGTCTCTCAAACAAAACAAAAAAAACCATCAGAATTCAGAATAATGCTAGGCATCAGCAAATATGGGAGATAATGACATCCACATGCTTTAAGCCGTCTTCAACGAGTAGATTGAGGTGGGGGGGGGGAGTGGGCCACCCCAGGGTGCCCCCTTGTGGAAAGTTAAAAAAAAACAAGAAAGAACGAAAAATAAAAAATGGATCACCCAAAACGCATCAGAGGTTATTTTCGGGTGTCTAGAACACAACATTTTTATGGGGGAATGCCCCCAGACCCTCTATGGCCCTGTTATCAATTGGCCCTACTTTTAATAATATCCTGACGACAAAATCGAAAAGGGTTCAGTGTTGAAGAATATAAAAGTTTACATTTCAGTTTTCACGGACGAGAATTATTTGACTTTATTATTATTATTACTTTATTGTGAACAAGGATATTTTGCATACCCATGTATAAACAGTTTATGTCCAGTTGATTTGGACAGCGGACTAATTAATTACCTAAGCATCCTTGTGCTGAGGTTAGCGCATCTTAGGCAAGGATCGAGGATCTGAACCTGCCTTGAGAGGGACAAGACATGTCCGGCAGAGTAGAAGATAGATCGTTTGTTATGAAGACAAGCACTGTAAACATAACACAGTTACTTTTAGATACTTGGGGTGTGTTTTTTTTTTTTTTTTTTGCAAATTTTGTTCGTTTAATTTAATTCAAGTTGTGTTCCAATGAACGTCTAAACAACTTATCATGTCCTTTGACTATTTGTGACTCGTGACAAATTTTGGTGCAGCGGTGGGATGCAACTGGATCTGAATTGAACTGAGCAAGTGCGACAAGTCAAGTACTGATGCTACGAACTGTTGGTGGCGGATACAGGCAGACAGATTTGGCTTTCATCGAATACAAGACCTCTGGATGCTTATTTACATATAAATTATTATAATGATTGTTTTATTTTTAATTAACATGTTATGTTTATTGATTGATTGATTTATTTGATTGACTCCAATGATTTGATTTTATATATACATTGATTTTTTTCTTAATTGTGCTGTACCATGTTTGCATTATGCATAGTTTCTTTGCAAAAATGGCTCAGATGGATGAGATACACGCGCTTACAACAGTGCTGTAAGGATTAAGTACACAGCGTGGTGGTCCTCCTGTTAAGCTCTGCAAATTCAGAGGTTCTGTTGGCGAGCCTGGTGATTTTTCATTGAAGGAGTGGCTAGACAACTTCAACAGTTACGCCATTCATTACAATTTGGCTAGAGAAGACAAAGCCAACTCACTGTTAGCTCATCTAGGTGGGGCAGCGAAGGAAGAGATCCTGTGCTATGGCGATGATATTAAGAAGGACAGTGCTTAAATTACAGAGAAGTTAGAAGCCTTATTTGAACCGATTAACACAGTACAATCTATGAGGTAGCTATGGAATCTCAAGCCAGCAACTTGGCAGCTATGGTTAGTATCTCCATCACTCGTCATCATTATCATCGTCGTCGTCATCATCATTATCGTCCTATGATTATATCATAAGTTTTCTGGTTATCTAAATATATAAAAAAAACATGCTCTAGGTAGGATCTCTTGACATCTGTAGATGTCATTCAAACAATGTACACATCCCTCTCCCACTCACCCTATTACAGAAGATGGATAGCTACCCCTGATTTTCAGTGCTCTATTAGTATAGCTGTAACTTTATCATTTGCCTTCAATAAACCAGGAATTGACAAAGTGATTAAAACTGCTTATTAAAGATAATCGGTAAAAACTGTACCTACCAAAAGGAAACAAGTCACATGAGACTTGTGGTGTTATTTAATTAAGTGATAGTACATTCTCATCCAGAGCGTGAAAATCAAGTTATAAATGTCTCAAGCTGAATCCGACAAGTTAAATTTAATTAAAATTGTACCAGTCTTTTAACTTGTATTCCAAACATAAATATTTAGTTTACTTTCTGCTGTAGATTTTAATAATGCCCTGTGAAGAACATTTTCACTGAGAGGGCTACCCTACTGACAGAGAATGAAATTGAATTAAAATGTTGGAGATTATGATAGTTTTTATCAACCCAAACACTAAATATATATGGCCTGTTTGGGTTTCATTTTCTTTAAATGGTCACAGTATTATATTGGTACTTTTACTTACTGCCCTCCAAGTTCTCAGGAAGAATATTTGAATCAGCTGTGCAAATCTGTCCAGGATGTATTCATTCATAATCATCATCATCATCATCATCTTTTAAAGTCTTTTTACCCTGCATGCGAGGGTTAGACTGTTCGGAGGCTGTGCAGTTAGCTGTAAGGTGGCTGTATCTTGTGAGACCTGGTTGTACGATCTGCGGCAACTTCTAGGTTGAGGTTTAACTTGCGAAGGTCCCCTCTTACATCCTGCTATGACTTAAGTGGGCAACCTTGTGGACGAGGTCCGTCAACATGAAATTCTGTGATGTGCCTTGGCCATTTGTCAGCCGTACCAATGGAGGCGGCTGTTCTGTCACAGATTCTGGTTGCGCAGATTAGCGAATAATTGCATGATCGGCTCAGCATAGACATTTTAAGTCCTCTTGTTGTTTTGCTGGCATAGGTAAGAATGCTGCAGATGCATGTATCGTACATGCGGCCACTGGTAGAAAAGCTTATGGCCTTGTTTGTAAGTATTGGGAGCAGTGAAACCCTTTCTATGCAGATGTTATACGCTCGTTTAGTGCATCAGCACAACCACCAGACTGACCAATGACGTCACCGAGGTGACAGAAGGAGCTTACAATTTCCACTGCATCACTGCCAATCAGAATGCTATTTTTGACATCGTCACTTTCACGTTGCATTTATCCAGAACAGATTTTACATTGAAACAGATCATCAGGTTTGAGACGTGTCAGATACTCCAGACTCAAATAGAACAACGCGTAAATATGATAATCAATGTTCACTAATTTAATAAGCATTTAAGCCAAGCCACAATACGAACAAACTGTACATTGTACTGCCATGCACTGTGATACCATGTGAGCAAGTAAGAGCTAATAACTGCTTTACCCACTCTATAAGTAAAAAGCAACACTTGTATGCAAATGTGATTATTAGACCATACCAAATTGATTGTTTGTTCGAACATTATAACAAGAACTCAATCTTGTGGATAGGTGGGGACTTCAACCTACAGTACCTGACATAAATTAGAATAGCTACTCTCTGTACACAATACCCTGAATCTCTCGGCAACAACCTTATCACCATGATAAGTGAAACAGGATTAGAACAGGTTGTCACTTTTTCAACTAGACGGGACAACACAATTGATCTCTTCCTTGCAAACCGACCATCATGCATCAACAACTATCAACCCATCCCAGCCATTAGTTCATAAGCCAAGAAAAAGGAAAATCTATCTATGGAACAAGGCAGATTTAGTTCAAGTGAAGGTAATAAAATGATGGATGGCTTCCTAAGGAATTAAGAAATGTGGACTGCAATAGAATCTCGACTCACCCAAATTCTTGACCTTGTTCCATCAAAATACACGACCAACCGATCCAACCAACCGTGGGTCACACGCAACATCAAACGCTTAAGTAGACAAAAGCATCATGGATATCAAAGCTCGTCACTGCCGTCAAAGGCACAAGTGCCAATGGACAAGGTACCACAAACTCAAAAAACGCATGCAGAAATTATGCAAACAGGCTTATAACGTCTACATTAACAAAATTACATGTCTAGACCTGAGGCCCAACCCCAAACGATACTAGAGCCATGTATCCAACAAACAGTGCGACAAAAATGGCATTTCACCCCCACATGGACCAAACCTACCAGGTATAAATTGGTCTACTCTGCCGCCCACAACATATAATATTTACGAACAATTTTTTCTATTTTTAAATCAATTTTATCTTATACAATGTAATAATTTTAAAATTCACAAGGAATAATGTTTTAGATTTAGTTTTATGTAGTAGGGATATCACTACGGTTACATGTGGGGATGATTTATTTGAATCTGACCATAGTGCTGTCTGTTTTACATACGGCTATGGTATTCGGGTAACGGGATCAAAATAATAACAAAAATAGAGTACTATATAATTATAAGAAAGTAAATGAAGTTAGTCTCGTTAACACACTCTCTCATATCCCATGGGACTTGCAAACGTGCCATACTCTCGATGAATCTGTCGACATGTTTTATAAGTTTATTCATGCTGTAATTAAGAACATTGTACCTACCATTAAGCCCAAGCGTAACCACCATGGTTTGATAATGAACTGCATATTCTTCTAATATATAGTTGTAAATGTTTCACCACAAAAAATTCTGGATTTTCCACTTATCATTTTAGGGGGTAATCATAGGTCAAAATGTCGTTCAGGAGAAAAAAAAAACACAAAAATGCATCATTTTCATGGTGACCTTTGACCCTGTGGAAAGTACTCGTTAAAACTCGCACCATGAATTCATTTATATGATGATCATATGTTCCAAATATCAGTTTGGTGTCTTTACCCCTTCATGTTTAAAAAAGCGATTTGAAAAGGGGTATATTTTTCAATTTTTGACTATCTGTGCATAAATGTGACATCATTAATTTTTGAATAACGATAATATATTAACAGCAATCTGCCTAGAACGTTGAAACTCATAATTCTAAAACAAGTTTATGTGCATATTGCAGGCATGCAGTTCCTTAAGGTATACAGTGTTTAATTAGTAAGATATTGTGCCCCAAAAACGGCCAAAGTGCAAGAATTGCACAATAAAATTGTGTCACTAGTGATTTCAAATGAGTGTAATATTATTCGGGTACAGTCTAGTACCACTCATTACGATGCAAGTCTATTACAGGAAGATCTGGATAGGTTAGAGCAATGGTCCTTAGCATGAAGCATGTCTCTTAGTTTAAGTAAGTGCAAGACATTAACGATTACTCTTAAAAATAATAAAATTTTATTTCCTTGCTGTATTAATGATCATGTTTTAGACTATGTTAATGGCCACAATGATTTAGGAGTTATTTTAGATAATAAGTTGAATTTTAATTTTAACATATTTGTAGTAAAGCCAATAGAATGCTGGGTTTGATCAAACGTAATTGTTGGAAGATTAGGAATAAAAGTGCATTATTTAAATTATATTTTACATTAGTTAGACCACAACTTGGTGACTTATGTGCTCATCAGCATGAAGAGGATTAAGTAAGTAAGTAAGACCACAACTTGATATGGGTAGCATTTTATATAATGGAGTGTGCAATACTCAAGCTGCTAAATTGGAAGTTATTCAGCATATTTTTAAGGTTTGCATGCAGAGTATGTGATGTTCCCAAGCATAGTTTGTCTCCCTACATTAGAAAATAGGCATTTATATCTTGACTGTGTATATTTCTATATAAACTGTGTTAATAATTACTACGGCCCTTTTTTACATTCTCTGTTTGGACTCTGTCAAATCAAGGCGTTGTGGTAAGGTTACATCTTCTCTTTTTCATATTCCTCTAAACATGGTTTTAACATCAGACTTCCTACCACCTTCAGTTCAATTAGGTTTATTTTAAACTGAAGTTAGAAGTTGTTTGTATGTTTAGGCTTTGGCTGACTTTTTTTTATCCGTGTTTTGTATTTCTTTATTTTGTCACTGTTACATGTATTCCATTCTTTTAAAGGTGGGCATCCCACTGTTGGATGTGAATTGAAATAAAATAAAAATTTAAAAAAAAAAAGATTGCTTTGAATTGATTGATGATTGGCTCAAAGCTTGTATCTGGTAGTAGAGATTGGGTCACTCAATTTCTCAAGGTTCATTCTAAACACACAGCTGAGAGTGAGATCAGCAGACGTAGACCTGGCTTGCACCATCCTAATTGGCTAAAAGTAGACCACAGCTGAAAGTGTCACTTTTAGATAACATGCTCTGATAATATGTGAAGTTTTAAAAATAAAGTTTGGTAACGGTTGTATGAAATTAAGGTTTTCATGTCTCATTTCATGCTCTGATGTTAATTTAATATTAGAAAAAAAAAAAAAAGAAGAAGAAAAGTACAGATTTTTGTGTAGGACGTCACCAGTTTAGGCCTATACCCGAAGAAGTATGATAATGTTATCTTTATGTGCTAAGACTTGCAATATTAGCTACTCCAAATATTTTTGGTGTATTGTTATGGCACACTTGCTGTTCATTCTTTAAAAATCATAGCTTCGAGACAGTTTGGTTAAAACAACCAATCAACTGAGAGATGAAAGGCTAGCAGCTGCTGAAGCAAGAGGAAGCAGGGGACCAATGAGAACAAGTGACCTGGATGAAGACCACGAACAAAGGACATATCAACCGACAAGTCCACTAAAGGAATACAAAGTAAGATAACAGTATAATGGTAAGTTTTTCATAGCTAAAATTATTATGAAAACCTTGTAAGATGATTGACTGATACATTGATAATTTTCATATACAATGCTTTGAAAGTTATCAGCCATACCCTTAGAGCAGCTTTAGCTTAGTAAACTCAAAGTGGGTACTGAACTGTGGAGATGTTTGGTACCCAGTTCCATTCCATCTGTAAGTTTTAATAGCACCATCTTTCGGATAAGCCGCTGGTCCTGTGAGCAGTATGGTCCAAGTGCATGCTAAAATATGCAGTGCATCCTTAAAAACGAGTAGGGGATTGTCTCCAGATGCACTGCCTAATTTTAAGCCATACTAAAATTGAGTTTTGCTGACTTTATTCGGTTATTGGTCTCACACCAAAAGAAATCAAATCTATTCTTACCATTGACATTTGAAGAAGTTTACGTATTATTAACAATAGACCTCTGGAAGTTACAGCAGATCCAATTACCGACGACATCGAAAGAGACCATCTGTAAGATTTGAAGACGATCTTGAGGAGGTTAGTACCTATCTCTATCCTTGATACATAAGCTTGGTTCGCACTATGACGTAACGAGGTAAACGCAGTATGTTGACGCAACATGAGGGTTTTGCGGGTGGGGACTGACGATGTAGACTTGACAACATAATGCAACACACTTTGTGTGCGGATCGTTATTGCGTTGTTTGTATAAAGTTAAATTAATTCAACTTTATGCAATTCAAGGTCACAAATACAAGGTTACAAACGTAAGGGAACAATACATTCGCACATTTTCTAACCAAGGGATTTGTAGTTAGTGTCTCGTGTTTACATTTTGGCGATGAGTTATCTTGTCACCTTGACTATCGCCCTTGCCATGGCCAATTAAATGATGTTGCTTTTATTACTTTTATTATCATTGTCCTCGTATCACCACCACCAAGTCCTCGTCACCATCATCATCGTCATCACATTAACATGCTCGTCTTGGCCAGTCTACCCTCTCTCCCACTTCACTTGCGATACGAAATTGCTGGAAGAGCATTTCTCTACATTGCGTTGCAGCAGTTTTTTTACAAGTGGGATCCAAGCTTTAAGGCACAGGATTTGGTGAACCATATTTGAGGCATGTCGTGGCGAAATGGTTAAGTTGTCGCACAGGCCTGTATTGAGTAAATAAGCTATAAAATATGGGAGCTCAAAAAAATTGCCTAACAATCCAAATTTGTTTTTCACTATAAATCAACAGACTAATGTCTTATTATTTTAACCACGTACCAAAGTATTAGTTCTGGAAATGGTCAAGAAATTGTTTATTTAATGTTATTTTGATAGTTCATTCTATTAAACAGTGTATGCACAAATAACTTTAAAAGGCAATTACTCAAAATCATGTTTATCTTGATTCTAAGAGTACAGTACTGTACTTTCACTTTCCAATAACTTAGGCTTGAAATGTCCAATTTTAAAGATCACATACTCAGGTATCTGAAAATACCAATAACTTGCATTTAAATTTTTGCTACAACTTCGCCATTTTGCCACAACATGCCTCATTTATTCTCCTTGAAAGGTGTCATTAGGAATTCTTTACTTGTAGAGCTCACACCCCATAAATTCAAAGCGAGCATATGAAACTTATATTGAGGTGTATTAGGCTTATACACTCGTACACTAAACTTCCATTTTGTAGAGTAACTATTTTATTCCATATAGAGGGCAATATGACTAATGGTAATAAAATTCAGATAGCATTAAAGCTTTTAATTTTTCATTTTGAGATTTATGGCTTTTTCTATTTTTACACTTTTTTTTGTTTTCATATTTTCTTTCTTTAACTTCACTTTAAACACTGTATGTAGAAGCATCTCTATTCTTTATTAATGTTGTTATCCTTTACTGTATAAATGATACAGCTGTCTTGTGTGTTTTATATTGTTATTTCTCATAGTCAAGTATAATTAAGTGTACATTGTTGTATGCAGTTCATTATTGTTCATGTTCAGATTATAGTCCATACTATTTACAGATTAAGCATGTTGGGTGGTTTCTGGATTCTCAGTGGGTATCTTCTCTGTTGTGTTGTAGTACTTTTGTTACGTTCATGTTGTATGTGATCCACTCAGTTGCTCATGGTGATAAATTTGGAAGTTGTGGTGTCGGTTGGAAAGTAGGTTCAGTATCACTCACTATCGAGTGTAGGACATAAACGACCCAGGACAATAACCACCCGGACGAAAAGCACCCAAAATGGAATATACCATTGTTAAAGTAGGGTGGACAATGTTGGATGGGCCTGTTTTTATCAGCTTTACAATAGAATAGTTACACTGTGACTCGCTATCACACGCCTTTAATTCATTCAACTGTTTTGACAACATGCATGTGTGTTAACAATCATTTTAGATTTCAGTAATCACTGTTTTTAAAGTTTGCCTTTTTTAAATGATTTTAACACAACAATTAACTTCAGAGCTTTAAGGAAATTCAAATGTAAAATTTGTAGTAAAGTTTTAATTTAATAATGTTTTTTATCTTTATAGTATTTGTCTAATATTTTAGTATTCTAAATTTATTTAAATTTCTAAAAATTTTTGACCCTACTTCCTTTACAAATATTTTCAATTAAATTCTTCCCTTTAATAATAATAATAATAATAATAATAATACTAATAATTTAAATGTAACCATTAATGAATGTAGGTTAATAAGATCATACTATTTTATATTTTTGTCTGTTTTAATTGAATTGTAGTAAAACCAGTATATTTCTATAATAGTGAATATACAAATACTCCATTACATTAATAGAGTACACATAAAAGTATTTGTCTAATATTTAGTATTCTAAATTTAGTTAAATTTATATAAGAGCTTGATAAATGATAAATGTTGTGGTATATTGAAATTATATACAACATATTAAGGTACAGCACGTATATGTACTATATTTTTGGCTTATTATTTTATGGTATTTTATTATTCCGGTCGCACCTTCTTTTCAGTCACGTCGCAATATATTTGTTATGCATTTTGTCGCGTTCTAGACCTATGGATCGCTGAATGTGCAACCCAGATCTAGAACGAGTTGGCTACAAGAGTATACCATTTTTAAAACACGAAACTTACTGTAACATTAGTTACAAAAACAGAGCTGCCAAAATAATAACTAGGAGGACTAGGAGTGAGTCTAGCAGGGAAGCCTTACAGAGCTTTAACTTAGATAACCTTGAGAGGAGGCTGTATCAGAATGAGGCCATCACTATGTTTTAAATTAAAGTATTATACTGTAGTTAAAGATGTAAGTTTATTTATGATAATTCAGTTTAGTTAATGTAGTTAAGTTTCTTTCAGTAGGCCCTAATGTGATTTTTTTTTTTTTTTATAAGTCTATTTTTACCTTTTTGTTTTAATTTCTGTTTTGTTGAGTTGTACAATGCCTTTACGGCGTTGTTGAAAAACACCATTGCGGTGAACAAGTGTTTCTGTAGTTAAATAAAGTTTTTATTATTATTATTATTTAATTAACATTTTCCCATATCAAATTATTAATATGAAAATAATTAAATACCATACATTTTAATGGCTACTTCAGGCAACTTTTATGGAAATGGATTCCCACGGTTGGTACTCTTGAGTTGAAACAGACACGAGGTTTGAATTTTCTTGTTTGACTTATTTCCAGTCTTGATACATATTCTGATGTTTATAAAATACACACATAAATGGAAATATAGTTTTAATATAATGTACGGTAATTGCAATTTCAGGCTTCTTTCTAACAAGCAGGAATTCAATTCATTACTTCAAGTAGTACCTGCCTGGAAACTATTTAAAAAAAAATCCAAAAGAAATTTTTCTACCAACTAGTTCCCACGGTACTCTTGTGGGTAAGCAGACATCTTTGTACGGCACTTTCAGGAATGTGGGCGCATTACTGCCATGACAGAATAATGCTAAAAATAGACCACTAGCTATTTTTAGGTGCAAGCATGTGCGATGGCATTGAAGGTGTCATGTGTTCACCTTTAAACTGTGACTTATACATGTCACCATTGTTTTCTCTGCTACTGATATCATGTTTATGAAAAGTACCTGCCTGGAAACTTAAAAAAAATCAGAAAGAAACTTCCACAAACTAGTTCCCACAGTACTCTTGTGGGTAAGCAGACATCTTTGTACATACAATGCCGAGGGCTTCCTTATTGATGTGGGAGTAGTTTTTCTCTGCAGCTGTTAAGGTTTGATGCATATGCAACCGGTTGTTCTACACCATCAACATCATGAGACAAAACCGTACCCACTCCATAATGGTGATGCATTAGTAGCCAGTTTAACTGGTAATTCTGGATCATAGTGTGTAAGAACATTATCCACAGTTACAAGTTGTTGTACCCATGTTAAATGCTGCATTACGTTCCTTCGTCCACATCCACTTTGTAATCTTTTCTAGCAGCATGTTCGAGGGTCTAGCTAAGTCTGGTAGAAATCTAGGTAGTAATTGCAGTATGTATAAGTCTTGAATAAAGTGGGTTGGCTCGATCATCAGTTGAGAAGCGCTAATTCGCAAATCTCTTATACACATCTAGATGTGTATAAGAGACAGTTCTTGAGCATATAGCTACGTCCTCTTCGGGTTTATTCTTCCTTGCAGTAACCGAAAAAATGTTGGTCCAGTCGAACTTTGACAACCACTCGCGCCCAAACAATGGAGGTCCACTACTATCCACTACAAACAATTTCCCTTGATGACCAATTTAAGACCAAATTCAACTCTCATTAACAAATATTAACAGAGTTACTGAGTTTCCCTTATTTTTGAAAAAAACTACCAAAACATACAGTATGTTTTTAAAGTAAAATTAAAGATATTTTTATTGATAAAGTATACAAATTCAAAATATATATACAGTTATATATATATTTGTGGTGGCCTTGAAAATAAGAATATTAAAATCATGTTTTTTGCCCTAAAAACGGGGTTTTTTGGTAATAAATATTTTCCTGCTTATTTTTACAGAAAATGTTCCATTAAAGCAAATATAAATACATGTATTCTGAGTATTTTGAGACCAAATTCAACTTCCCGTAATAAATACTAACAGATTTACAGAGTTTTTCCTGATTTTTTCAAAAAGTTTACCAAACTAGATATTTTAAAAGTAAAATTAAGTATATTTGTATTGATAAAATATAAAAAATTATTATATATTTATATATTTGAGATTTACTAATGTCACTTTAACTCATTTGCCAGTATTGAGTGAATTCAAACATTCGATGCCCTAGAAAATGAGAAAATTATTAAAATCATGTTTTTTGCTCTAAAAACAGGATTTTTTGGTAATAAATATTTTCCTGGTTATTTTTGAAGAAAATGTTTCACTAAAGCAAATAGAAATGTATGTATTCCGGAGTAATTTGAGTCCAAATTTAACATAATCTGGTAAATATACTAACAGAGTTACGGATTCCTCCTGGTTTTGTGGAAATTTTACCAAAACCGGCTTTTTAAAGTTAAATCAATTATTTTTTTATGCAGAAACTATTGGAATTTTTTAAAAATATTTGTTTGTGATTTATTATTGTCACTTTAGCCATCATTTGCCATCTTTGAATATGTGGAAACAATCAATGGCTTTGAAAAGAAGGAAATTATGAAAAACGTTTTTTGGTAATTTTTTCCCTGGTACTTTCTGGGAAAAATGTTTCATTACAGCGAATAGAAACATGATCCTTCCGAACATTTTGGCACCAAAATTAACTCTCTATCACCAATAGTAAATGAAATACAGAGGGTTAGTATTTTTTCCCAAAAATGGATGCTTTTGTATAAAAGCAGCCATTTTGGACCCGGGGACCAAATTTTACAATTGCTACATGGCCAAAATGGATGACCAAAGTTTCAGGAGCATGAAAAAACAGTGTCTATATAAATTGCAGAGTATGTACACGTAAACCATATCTAGCTGCTGCACTAATACTAATTCCTTAAATCGACCATCAATTGCCTTATGACCACTTTTGTTGCACCAGTAACACGGAGGTACTGTAGTTTGCTGTGGAATTTATTCACACTTTGGCTTTCACTCTTAAATTGTTGCTGTAATTGAAAAGCATCTTTGGTTGCTGTTTTCATAGCAACAACCAATGACAGTGCTTTCATTAACTTAATCTTCGCTTCTAAAAACAATTGTATGCTTCCTGACCGAATACCACAAAATGATCCCTTATTGCATCATTGAGCTGATCCCCAAAATCACAATGTTATCAAAGATGCCTTAACTTGGCGAGGTATGATTGAATGCTTTCTGCCTCGTGTTGTTCACGCTTGTGAAACCTGAACCTCTCCGCTATTACTAACGGCTTGGGACTAAGATGTTTTTCCAAACAGTCCACTAAATCCTGAACTGCTTGTCTACTGGCATATCTGGAGCTACCAGATTGTTTTTTCAAACCTTAAAGCTTAGGCCCAATTAAACTAAGAAGCGTCGGTACACGTTTATCGTTGCTCAGGTTGTTCGCCGTGAAGTAAGCTTCTAGCCTCTCTACATACGACGCCCAGTCTTCAACCTTGCTCTCGTACGATTCTAGCCATCGGATAATCATGCTCATTTTGCAATATTGTGTTTATAACTTTAGTCTATGTATGTCTACTCACAGTTTGACTTGTATTTACCATTATCCTTGTCGCCAATTGTGGTATATTGGCCTATTTATTGAAACTACCCCACAAGACTCGTACGCTAAGCTTCCATTTTGTAGGTTAACTATTTTATTCCATATAGAGGGCAGTATGACTAATACTGTATTCGTGTATATTGTATACTACAATATTATACTAAAAAATAACTTTTTTGCCTCCTTTTGTCTTGCCCACAGATTCATGAGATTCATCAGGCTGTTAGAGATTTAAGCTCTGACCAGCTCCGCCTTGGACGGGATTTAAACCAGGAAGTTCAGAGACGTTTGCAGAATGAAAGTGATAACAGAAGAAGTCTTCAAAACCTAGCTAGCAGTCTTAAGCAGTCTCAAAGGGAAGAAACAGTAGGTGTCATAATAATAGTAATAATTTTTTCCAAAAATAAACAAATAATGGCATATTACTGTATTTCCAGACTATACTCCCCATCTATATACTTTAACACTTTTAATTAATTAATTTTTATGTGTAATGTTCCATTCAAGTATGAGCCCACCCTGTTTAGAGGTTTGAAATTCTTTCTGAAGTTATTGTATGATTCAGATAAAAATTCTAAAAATGATGAACAATATATAAAATAGTTTTCCATCAAAATGCTTGCTAGGTGTAGCCATGGCTTGCCCAGGATTCTTTGTGAGGCCTAGTCTCTAGGCTTGATGTATCTAGTTTTTTTCTACTGTGTTACTTATACCATGCGTAAGGCCACTATTGTTTAGTTCCTATGCATGACATGCAATAGGGACTCCTGCAATCACATTTTGCTTGTGTGTTTACGTATGTGTGTGTGTGTGTGTGTGTAGACATTTAGAGTGAAATTGCGTATGCGTCAGAAAAAGTTTTCCGATATTTTGTTTTTACCTCGCGACGTGAAGTTCCTCAGTGGTGGTTCAGTCACCTTCTTCCGGGTTTTTGCTTTTGATTAGTGCCCCATTGCTTGCTAAGATTAAAAATAATTAGAGCCCGCCCAGAATTACCTAATATGAGGCATGTTGTGGCGAAATGGTTATGTTGTCGCACAGTCCCATTTTGAGTAAATTAGCTATAAAATATGGGAGCTAAAAAATTTGCCTAAAAATCCAAATTTGTTTTTCACTCAACAACAACTCAACAGTTTAATGTCTTATTAATCATGTCCCAAAGTATTAGTTCTGGAAGTGGTTAACAAATTGTTTATTTAACGTTATTTTTTATAGTTCATTCTTTTAAACAATGTATGCTCAAATAACTTTGAAAGGCAATTACTCAAAATCATGTTTATCTTGAGTCTAAGAGTACTGTACTTTCACTTTCCAATAACTTAGGCTTGAAATGTCCAATTTGAATGAGTGACCTCTCATTTTAAAGATCACATATCTAAAAATACCAATAACTTGAATTTAAATTGTGGCTACAACTTAGCCATTTTGCCACAACATGCCTCATATGGTAAAAACACTTCAAGTTTGCAATCCACTCAGTTTCTTTCTGAAACCCGACACAAGTCGAAGCCCAGTTTTAGATTTCCGACATTTTTTTTTTATCTCGCGATGTGACGATCTTCACTGGTTGAGTTTTAGCTCGCGCTATTTTGCAATAGCCAAAACCTGACATAACACGAAGCCTACAGTACCGCCAGAAACTATTGTTGCAATTATTCCTGCGCGCAGGCTTCGTATCTACATCGTAGGCTGATATAAACAATCTAAACAAGGCTACGAAGCGAACCTACGAAGCAAAAGTGTGTTGTTTATTTGTATGTGCAGAAAGACTGCTGTAGCTTACTGGAATAAACAATGTATTGCTGGGTCATTTGTGAATGACAATGCATGAGTTTCAGTAAGAAAAATGTGTACCTGATTAGATCAGAGTCTCCCTTTCCACTCACTGTCGACGACAGGAACTTGTTTGTACTCCAGTATTTAATATTTTCTTAATTAATTAGCCTAGGGCCTAGCCTATTTTTTTTATTTACAATTAGTTTACCTCTTTTAACTGTCAAAAAATGATGTCCTCAATAACAATACACACATGTTAAAAGATTGTTCATCAAACAATATTTTGTAGTCTTGATTTAGTAAGATAAATAATAAATATAAAAGAGAGTTAACGTCCGTTTATTGTAAATTTACCGAATGTCGCATGGAAAACCCAATGTTTATCAATAAATGCTGACAAGTCATCATTCAGCCACTTGTTTAAAAAATGTTCAAGGATGCGGATAAACAACGGCGTAAGCAAGATCGGTCTAATCTGGTCGAGTCCTACAGTGCCCTTTTGTTTTGGTATCGGTATAACTGTAGCTTGTTTCCAGGCTTTGGGTACCATTCCCTCATTCAGCGAGGTGTTAAATATATGTGTGAGGTGTTCTGCTATAATGGCTGGAGGAATGTCTCCAGGCGGAACGGACTTGCTACACTGTCTGGGCATTCAGACTGTGTTCTTGGCGCATGTTCTCGGCACATAATGTTCTCGGCACACGTCATTTTTTGTAGTCTGAACGCATGCTAATGCAATTTATGTCGAGCACAGAATGTTCTAGCTAGAACCCAGTTGAACCACGTTCTCGGAACAAAATGTTTTCGAACTACAACTCTGGAATGAAGTCTGAACGTGTGCCGAGCATAAAATGTTATAACTGGGCGGGCTTCAGTGACGTGACCTGACCTGCTTTGACATTCTTCCAAGGCGCAATGTACACATGTTAGGGCAAATAGAAAAAATTATTAGATTATCAATCCCACCAGCGTCAAAAATTCAGGAAATATTGATCCGGGAATAATTTTTTTTTTTTTTTTGCAGCATCAATTATTTCAACAGCATAAAAATAACAATGCAATTTTGTGAATTTTCTTTAAAAAATTATAAAATGAAACCAGTTTTTGTACAATATTTACTATTACAGACCAAATATAAACAGTCCCCTCCCTCATCGATAAAAACAAAGGTGAAATAGGCCTAATCTATTGTTCCAATTCTAAAAAAAACCGCCCTTCATCATTTTTTTAGATCATAAGAGTGATAATCTAATAATATTTTCTATGTGCTCTTATAATACAGCAGTACTACTGTTCTCTTGATTAACTTATGCTGTAGGCTTAAATTTTTTGGAACAAAACAAAATGCTGTAAACATGTTTTGACAGAGGAAGCATATGGAGTGCAATCATCGAAATGAATTGCGTAGTTGAAGTTTGGGAAGAAGGGAGATAAGCACAAAATACCAAAGGATCTGGGAATAAGCAACTCTTCCAAAAGGTATCCAACAATCTTGAGATTTCCACGAAGACCCTGGGATCGTATAAGAGAATTTAATAAAATGGAAATAAAGTTAGGCCTACAGTGACTGTGAGCTCCTCTCAAAATGTTACACATGCATAAATGCCAAGAACATTTTTTTATAATCTGAATGATCGTATTTCAAGAACTTTTTCGTTCGGTCTGGTATGTGAACATGTGCCGAGAACATAATGTTACGATAACATTTTATGCCAAGTACATAATCTGAATGCTCCCTGTATTTTCAAAAGTTGTTGGCAAACTTCAAATGATTGTACTTGTGGCGGTGGAGCCTCAGCTGGGAGGAATGACGGCAATTCATCTAGTTTAAGAGGTTCCAATTCCTGACAAATAGTTGCAAGGTGCTCGTTAATTTTAATTAATTAATTTTAGATGATGCTTCCGATGTTGTAAGAGAGGTAGGACTATCAATTCTGGGTTTGCACTTACTTTTCCCACATATCTGTTTCACTTTATTATACCAATTGCGCGGGTTAGTAACCTCAAGCTCTTTTACTTTATAGCGATAGTACCTCTCTTTAGCTTTCTTTATTTTCCAGTTTACTTTATTTCTAAGAATTCTGAACACTTCAATTCCATTGTTATTAAAAGTTTTTTGTTTATCTTTAATTAGTTTCTATATACGGCGCAATCCAAGGTCTATCGGTAGAGTATACGTGCAATGTTTGGCAGGAAAATGCTTTTTGTATGCAGTAGCAATGATATTATTAAATGATTCCAGTTTTGCTGTTTGTACCGATTGAATTGTACACAGAAGACCAATCCTGGGTAGTTATCCATCTGCCAAAACTCCTCAAAGACGAATCTGTGAGGGGTTGGAATTCTTTGATTACTGCTTTTCCAAAAGGTCTAGTTGGGCTCAACGGTTTCCATATGACGATGTTATGGTCGCTTTTCCAGAGTGGTGCTTGGATTTCTGGCTGTGAATAATAGTCTTTGAGGTCTGTTAGTATTTGCCACAAGGTTTATCTTTAACACACTTAACTGTGTTCTGATTGGCGCACAGGCTGCCCGCTGCTGGATTTGGGGTTAACAACATGAACTTGCAATTCGCCAAGTTTTATTTTACAGCAGTTCGGAAACGTCAAAGGAATTGGCATTAACCATTATTTAATATTACCTTTTATCTGGGCTCGATAAGCCGGGCTATAAAGCGTGAATACTTGCTGTGATTTCAGTAAAGTGTTTGATCGCATTAGTCACCCGGTTTTTATAAAGAAGATGTTATCCATTGATGTCAGGAAAAATATCATCTTGTGGTTCTGTAACTTCTTGACTAACAGAGAACAACGAGTATTGTATAAAGGAGTAACATCCTGCTGGATCCCCATCACTTGTGGTGTCCCACAGGGGACTAAATCTGGTCTTAGCCTTTTCCAAGTGATGATCAACGACTCGGCACTTGATTGCCCTACCAAGTAGAAATTTGTAGAGGATCTTACTCTCGCTGAAATTTCGAAGAACAATAATATGGACAATATCAGAACTTATTTCAGTAACTTAGATGAATGGTGCCAAATTAATAAAATGTGCCTTAATGCAAAGAAGTGTAAATCAATGAAAATTAATTTCTGTAAGACCTCTGGATTCTATGATGAGCTTGATGATAATGGAGTCCCAGTGGAATCAGTTAGGCAAATGAAACTTTTAGGTGTGAAACAATTCAGGAAAATTTAAAATGTGATGTCCATATCAATGAAACTGTTAGTAAGGCGAATAAAACCTTACATATAGTGTCAATTTAAAAAAAATTTGGAGCACCTGAATCTCAAATAATTAAAATTTATAAATCATTTATACGTCCTATCATCGAATACGCATGTCCAACGTGGCACTCCTCCCTTACTTCCGGACTAAGTTGCGATCTGGAAGCTGTCCAGAAAAGAGTCTTAAGAATTGTTCTGGGGCGGCAGTACTTCTCTTATACTGCTGCCCTTGAGCAGTTTTCTCTGGAGAGACTCTGTGATCACTGATTACATCTCGTCCGGAAGTTTGGGGGGGGGGACAGTCCAGGGAAATATGGATGATATCCTTTCAAAAACCCGTTTAGAAGCAACTAATAAAAAACAAGAAACGCTAACAAACTATCACAGTATAAGTGTTGTATGGAAAGATTTAAAAAATCAACATTACCCTTTTTAGTAAATAATGACTTGGTGTGATCAAATCACTTATGATATTGTGAACTTCGCTTATTTTTTTCTCGGAACTTGTAAAAATAATTATGTTAATACCGCAATATAGCTCCTTTTTCTTAATTAAAATTAATAAATGTCAAAAACCCTTAATGATTTTGTGACCATTGTGTATGTGGATATATTTTATGTATTTTTATATGTGCTTTTTTAATGATTGATTTTATAAATATTGTAATTTGACTCAATTCAGTTTTGTACTGCAATGTCAATTTTTTTAAATAAAAACCAGAATGAATGAATGAATAAAATGTTAATAAGCTCTGGGTGACAGTGAGTAAAAAAAATATAAGGAAATGCGATCCAGCATGACTCTATAGCCTTAATTAGGCAAGGTAGTGATTTCTATAATTCCATTAGTATTGGACTGCTTTGCAAGTTCTGCTCATTACGGTAAACAAACACAACTTTTAATGTAGAACCCTTAATAATTTGTACTTATTTGATATTATTTAAAAGGAAGAAAATGCCTACTGCCAGAACAATAACATTAGATCAAAATTCTCCCAATTGGAAGTTTACCAAGGTATAATTACTGTCTGCTCTCCTCCTTAGGGGAAAATCTAGGTCGTAAATGACATCGAAATTAGAACTCACTGTTATGTTCTAGGTAGCTAACCATGGTTTTAAAACATGATCAAACTAAGGTAGGAAATAATGAACAATAAACTTGTAACATTGTTTATTAGTAAGTCGCAAAATTGCTCATGTGTTGAAAGGGGGTTGAAAGCTGGTAAACTATAGTTCAATATTGTTTACGCATTGTTTATCGGCCCGACGATCCAGCCTACGATCATTGCAAAGCTAATTAAAATAACAATGACCTTCATAGGGGTTCGTAGCTACGTTCAAAACGGTACCTACGAGCAGGTTACGAGTGGTCACGCTCAGATATGAAGCGATAATTCACGGCAGTACTGTAGGTGTGTATAATAGCACCTCCTGCCAAGGGCGGCGGGGAGATAGCGAAGCATTAATTTAGGTTATACCTGATGTGTAAGTATAGTATTCATTTTCCCAATATTCAAATGCAAAGAATTAACTTTTCAAGGTAAACCGCCACAACACAAAATCCACCCAACCTCATATTGCCTGGAAATAAAACATGCATCATGCATAGGAACGTTGACGCCTGCAGGGTTCTGGTTTATCCATGAAATTTAATAATTTTGAATTTTGTTCTCCATTTATTATCTTGTAATTACCATTATGAATTAATTTAAAATTTTCTTTTTGTATAAATGGTTTTTTTTAATTTTTTATTTAGTCATCCGATCGAGTGGAGAAACGATTACAAGATATCCAAGATGAATTGAGGCAAGAGAGGTTAAGAAAGGAACATAAGGAAAGGCCTAGAAGCAGGGGGCTTGGGGATGCCATGTCTCTGGAGCTGAGGGAGGTATGTTAGGCTTGTAGACTCCCAACCTTTAGATCATGGTTTTGAGTTTCGCTGCACATTTTGTTTTTGTCCTTGTGCAAGACACTTTAATCACATTGTCTCCACTCAGGAGTTATTTAAGTGGGTATCTCGTAGGATCATAGAGATCTTATAGTGAACTATATTTACTAGTGTTGAATAAATTTATCTGGTTCCAAGTTAAATTTATTAGAATTATTAGTTTTATGTTGAACCAAAAAACGCACAATAAATTACCTGTAACGTTTCGTTGGCAGACTGCCAACTTCTTCAGACTGAAGCCTGTGTTATAATGGTCTGGTTTGGTCCAGGTTGCACCGGATTGCGCCACCAACCGTCCTTAACGGTGGTTCCCCCTCCTGCTTGTACTTTCTCTAGCAAACCATCGTATATGTGCAGCAAGTCATATCCTCCGATGTCTCTGTTTATGTTGTGGTCCCTTTTTCTGATGCAAATTGCCTCTTTTATTTTCCTTCTATCAATGTTTGATTCTTTTGCAATGACTGTGGCATTCCAATTCGGAACATGATTATTCTCTACTGGCTGATCAGTGATGGCAGATTTGTGATGATAATGTGATGAAAAAGATCTTAAAGCCAGTTTTTTTACCCCCTGATTGTGTGTTAATACGTCTTTCTTGTGTTCACCAATCCTCACAATGAGCGATCTCCCAGTCAGCGATCTCCAAGTCTCTACTACATAGACTTTTTCTCAGTTGAGACAGTTAACCTGATAAACAACCCCGCACATATCGTCATTTTTGATCTTGTCCTTTGGGTGGACTAGGTGCAACCCGGACCAAACCAGACCATTATAGCACAGGCTTCAGACTGAAGAAGTTTGCAGTCTGCCAATGAAACGTTTCAGGTAATTTATTGTACGTTTTTTTGGTTGAACATAAAAGTACTAATTCTAACATATTTACTATATTATCTCAATGGTAGGATCCAGTACCTGCTCTGATCAAGTCAAGCTTTAAACTTTCAATTTGACTGATTTTACTAGTTCACATAATGGACCTTTCCGGAGTGTTAATCAAACTTGACAACTTACCAATTAAAACAGGGCCAGGAAAAGGCGCACATGTTTGCGTATGTTTTTACAGTCGTTTTGTGGGTCCTTAGCAACAATATCCAAGGGGCGGAGCTTGGCGGAAAGATTCATTTAATCTATTATAATCCATGAATTTATTACTAGATAATATATGGGAACAATGTTATTTACCATCTATTACAAAATAATTTTTGTATAATTTTCAGTTGTAAACTGTAACTATACTTAGATATATAAAGTTTAAGCAATTCAAATGTTGAATTTTAGTTTTTAAGAGCTCCAAACAGAAAGTATATCATTAACATAAATATATTTATTGATGATAAGTTGTAGGCAAGATGTGATTTGGTGACAGGTGGTCATATGTTCAATCCTAATGTTGGTTTTAAAAAACAAATACTAGATAGTATAATGACTCAGTGTAAGTGTCCATTATTTTAAAAAAAATTCTGTTCATAACACAATTCTCAAGCACATCATGCAAGTTAGTACTCAAAGTAGGCATTTTTGTTTGTGTTAATTTTAACCTATATTTCTAGGCTATTCACACCCAACGATCAATAAGAAAAGAAGATGACAATGAGGCTAGTAAACGCCTACTGCAGACTGAGAGCCAACGGCAAAAGCTAGGCCAGGAGTTGGATGAAACGAAACAGAAACTGAACCAAACCCACGGGGTTAACACTGCCCTGAAGTCTCAGATTGACAGCCTGCAATCACAGCTAGATAAGGCTGATAAGGAACGGGGTCATTTGAGTACTAAACTTCGCTCATTCATGGAAGCAGCTGAAGAAGAGAGTCAACGCTCAATGAGAAGCCGAAGAAATATAGGTAACGAAATATATAAAAATGAAAAATTGAGATTTAATATTAATAATGATATCTTAAGTAGATTGTAGCTGCACAAGTGGTCACAGATGAAGATAGTTTGATGGGCAAGAAGTGGTAAAATGAATTTTGTCTAAATAGTGCTGTCTTATAATTTCAGTTTTGAAAATGACAAGAATTAATTATGATAACAGCTTTCAATTACATACCCCTAAATCCAAACAGCATTCATATACTTGCTTTATAAACGTAAATTAGTAAATTAGGATTTGGAATAGCATTTCAGTGGTAAGGCTTCCTGATGATGACATAATTAATGTCAAAATAATTATGGCGTGCATTTCGATACTTGGAGTATGTATTATACTATCGTAGCTATGGCAAGACTTACCCCGGCATTCTTAAAATGAACTTAAGTCGTAGTTCGAGCTAAAACTTAAAAATTACATCATTTCATATTCTTAAAACAAAATTTTGACTAGTGCTACGACTAAATCAGGTGAACCTTGACTAAGAATATACCTCCACAGGCCAATTTTTTTAGTCAGATGTCATGAATTCCTACTTGACATATTTCCGAGCGGTATAGAAATTACTAGGAATCCCTCTTTGACATATAAAATATAAACACAGCTCACAATGTTGTAAAACAACTTTCAAATAAACTTTTCTTCTGTATAAACTCCAATAAGAATCCGGTCTCAAAACAATACAATAACATTCACATAAACATGTGTTTCAAAAAGAGCACCAGAAAGACAAAACTGTCAGCTTATATACCCTAGCTGCGCTATTCCAGAGCATTCAAGATCATTCTATATTGCCTAAGTTCCTCATTGGTCACCTTACATTATAATTAACCAATTATGCTTATTTGCCTTTATAGTACCAAAGATTCTAGAAGCTTCCATATATTACTCTTGGATTCTACATGGTGTCATGTGCTCTAAAATTACCAATGTGGTTTACACTGTTTATTTGATCAATTAAATGTTATTCTAGAATGTTCTATGTATTAAATATGTTAAAGTAAGGCAAGGAATGGTAATTTATTACACAGCCTAGGGTCAGAATAAATCACCGACTTGAAATATTTACCCCACTAAAAGCATGCTTTTTGTAACTCACGATAAGTGAAACAAATAAAAAAGATTGTATACATATGTCTGATTTATTTATTTTCGATGTGTTGAACAAAAGAGACATCAAGTTCTTTTAATATTAATATATCTAAAGTACTCGACAACATCAGTAATAAAAATAAAGTTGCATATCTGCGGGGATTTTAATATTGACCTTCTGTAAGTCTCATAATAAAACTTCTGAATTCTTAGTTCAATGTTTGAATCAAATTTTTGTGCACTTTCTGATAGACCTTTCAGGATTACAACCAAGACAGCAACCTTGATTCATAATATATTTTGTAATAATATTTGTGACAAAATTTCTCCTGGGATAATTTACTCTGACATCTCTAATCATTTTTAAAACCTTCAGAAAGTGCTCAAGCTCAATAAATTATCTTTAAATGTTTCTAAAGCCGGACGCTCACTGCGTCATACGACGGTCGTATGACCGTCGCATGACGAATCCAACTCTGCTCCCTGTGAGGGCTAGAGTATGCGACGCGCTCTGTTGGTCGGTGGCAGTCTGAACAGATCATTGTTAGACCAAGTCTTATCTTATTTAATTACAAGTGTAAAAAAATGATTGTATCTTTATTAATAACAATAATGTTCCTTAAGTTAGTGAAACCAAGTTCCTTTGTATCACAATAGATGCAAAACTGTCTTGGAAACCCCACTTGAGTAGAATTAGCAATATTATTTCACTAAATATTGGCATGAGAAATAAACTAATACATTCGCTTCCAAGTAACATACTTTTAACTTTACAATACTTTAGTTTTGCCATACCTTTCATCATTGTAATTTAATTCGGGGTGTGACACTTCTAAATTTGAAATACTGTATTATGTCCTTGAACAAAGTACTGAATCAACAAAAAGCGACCACCTTTTCAAACTGCGAAAAAAAGCTCTAAGGATTTGCGAAGGAGCATCCTTTAAATCACACACTAAATCTTAATTTCACAAGTTCAGTGTTTTAAACATTTATGATATAAAAAGTTTCAAACCGCTTTGTTCATATATCGTATTGATAATAATATTATTTCTCCTCTTATTTGCATCCCATTTATAAAGACATCTGACCAGCATGGCTACAATACGAGGGGTGCTAACAACTTTTTAATTGAATCTTATACATCTAATCTTAGACGTCTTTTAGTTTTATATACAGGTTCCAATCTGTGGAATTCACTCTTGGCTAGTCAGATTCAGATTTGATTTATTTCGTCATCTCATACCGTTTGTACAACATGATGTTTGTTTTCTTGGCAAAAACACATAATACAAAACACAAAGAATATGCTTAATAAATATTTAAATATGTTAACTATGAAAATGAAAGGCCTATCTCTGGAACTAATTATTGTTGTATATACTGTTTACTTTTTTTTAAATTGGGGAGGGGTCAAACTTCGTTGAACTTAATAGACCTCCATCCAACGCAATTTTTTTTTCTTATTATGACATTATATAATTATGAATATTATTTATATAAATGTTACCGTATTTTGTGTATGGTAAAAGCCTAATAAAGAAAAGAAAAGAAAAGTTTCCACAAGGTGTAATGAACATGTTTTGCTAGCCACATGCCACAGTTTCTGATTTACACAAAATCCCCTCGCGTTGTGGTCATGTAGCTTTACCGTAACAACAACAAAGATGCCCCCACCACCCTAGCTCAGGCTAAACTATAATAGTTCTCCAAGGAAAGCAAATTTTCAGTGACTGTTCAAAATCTCTATCATTTGTATGTTAACTACTAATATAGATATTATTATAGAAAATTAATTAAAGCCTTGTCTGCACTATCAAATTTCATCAAAAAAGCGTCACATAAATTGTGATGGAACGTAAGAGTTGAACACTTTTAACATTTTTTTGATACAATTTGATAACAATGTATGTGATATGACGTCATCGTACTTATATATGGGCGCATCACATAAAATTTGATAGTGTAGACAAAGCTTTAGTGAATGATGGTCTATTATGAATTATGAAGAAATATGTTATAGAACAGCAGGCGGCAGCTTAATATTCATCTGCGTTACCAGGGGCAGATTGCTCCAAGCGGTCTTTAGACGGTCTTAACGCTTAGCCAGCTTTGATCGTGACGTCACTACTGGTCTATTATTATAGAACATTGCTATAGTGCGGTCTAACCAATTACCCATCTTAAACTTTAAAGCCTACTCGGAGAGGGCTTAAAACGGTCTAAAATCAGTTTCATCATGGCGTACTAGACCTAGATCGTCAAAGACTAAGAATCGAACGACAATCCGCAAACTTCTCACCGTCTGTAAAAAACCGCATAACATTTATTTCTGTTCATTTTGATGAATATGCATGTTTAGTAAAACTGTCTATTAGTGATAAAGCCGGCTTTATTCAAGGAGTTAAGACTACCAGTTCAGACAGTTTTATAAAAATCTGCCCCAGATCTCTAAAATTTGTCTGCTTTTAAAATGAGCTCTTTTCATTGGTTAGTTTGGTGACAGTCGTCTTCTGCTGAAGGAAAGGTTGATTTAGTTGTTATTAGAATTTTGACTGCGTTGTTTATGAATACAAATTTAAGTTGAAGTTGCAACTAGGACTAATTGAAGTTCGAAGTTCGACTGAAGTTCGTATTAAGAATATGGGAATAAGCCTTGCCATGAGAGTTAGGGATAATGTCCCATGAAAATCTACCTAAGTTTGACTTAGATTTCATTGTTTTAAGAAATAATAACATTTATATTAATGACATTGATTGATAATTGACATTAGCTTTTTTTTTCATTTATTCATTGCAATTTAATCTCAGTATGTTTTATCTATATATATATACTTCCATTGATTTTCCCATCCATCCATTTTTCTTTTTATCTGTTCATCCAGTCATCCAGAATTTTTTGCCAAACAATACCTCAGTCCACCTCTTTATGTCTTCCTACAGGTGAAGAAGTTGGTAAGGAAAGCTATGATCGACTAAGAATGGAGAAAGAAATTGATAAACTGCGATTAGAATTGGCGCAAACCAGTGGGGCAAAGGACTCTGAAGAATCAAGGCGCGAGCTGAAAAAGACACAACGTCAACGAGATCAACTTGCAGATAATTTAGAGGTAAACCATAAGGTGGTTTGCAGTCATTGCATTATAATCCTAAGGCAAGATTTTTATACCTTGTTGAGCAACATTTATTTTTGAAATATCATCAAGGAAGGGCAGAAAAACATATAAAGATAAAGATTTTGTTTCCTCAATTTTTCACAAATTTCTCTCTTTTAGACATTCAGCCGAGAATTGGATGCAAAAGAAAAACACCAGAAAAAAATCCTAGCACAATTAAATGATGTTTCAGAACGTTACAACGACAGTGAACGCCAACGGATGGTTGTCCTCACTCAGTTTGAAGAGCTGCAGAGCCGGCTACGTGAAGTCATGCGCGAAAGAGACGCAAACAATGAGAAGATAAAAGAGTCTGAAAGATTATTGGAGCAATCGGAAAAAAGAAGAGAGGACATTAAAACCCATGCCCAAGAGGCCATCAGACAGTGAGTACTTGGTTAATATCACTTATTAGTCTGTATCAGCATTAAATTACAAGGACGCCTAGGACTACTCCCCAGGGAGTGGAGGAGGTAGCATTTTATGCCCGGTTTGCTAAATTATTTATCCAATGATTCGAAGAGGCTCTGATACAGCTACAGAATATTTATAATATAAAAATTAGTGAAAGGACCAAATTATTTTTTATTTATTTATTATTATTGACATCGTTATATAAAGGTGAATATTATTTAATGATTTTAAAATTTAAGTGAATGTAATTGAATATGGTGAAATTAAGAAACTACTCTAAATTCAATCATCAAGATTTTTAGGATTGGTTATTTAAAAAAACGAAATAATTTGTCATTCAATTAAATATTGATGGAAAAATACATTTTTTACATGATTTAAAAAATATAAATTGAAAGATATATAGAAGCTAATAACTTAAGTCTAGAAAGTAAGCAATTCAAATATTTTTTTTAACTATAGCTCAGCTCAGACATTATATCTTTAATAGTAATAGAGCCCCAGAGCCGTAGATAGAGTTTGGCCAACTTGGCGCATGGCGCCATTTTGTTACCAAACAGTGTGTGCGCGTATAGCTTTATAACACTTTATAAATAACACTGATACTGCATAAACTTTCTTTCATTATTTTGTTCATGAGGACAATTCAATTATGGGATTTTAAAATATCATTGTAAATATCATATATAATCATATTTACCTAACTTTAAAGTTAATTTTTTTGTTTTGGTTTAATATTAGTTTAAGTCTCATTAGTTTGTTTTTGAATTTTTGCTTTTTTTAAATCGGAAATTTTAATGTTTGTGCATATTAAATAATATCAACTTTTTTAAATAATAATTGTAACTAATTAAAATAATAATAATATTGATTATTTTAATTGATCTTAATAATGATAATGATTTATTGTAAATTTAATTCAGGTTTTCTATTTTGTAAATTGAATCCCCAATTCAGCCTCAGGCTGCTAAAGATTTGATATTGTAGTTGTTTTGTTTTGAATTTATGAATAAAGATACCGAGATATAATTAATCAACGCACTGTACTATTTTGAGAAGATAAAGTGAGGACGATTCTTTATTTTTCGTTACGATTATCTTTTTGTTTTGAAAGTCTATCATCTAGGCCTATGCCTAGTCACTAGCTGGCCTCTATCTAGCATAGAGAGGCCTAGTCTAGCCACTAGTGAAAGGAATTTTTGTACAATATGCCTATGCCTAATCACAATCAAGAAGCTAGGCCTATGTAAGTAAAATAGCAGCATTCTCCACACTTCTGTTCATTATTAGTAAGTTATTATCATTAGTACTGTATTATTATTATTAATTATTATTCATTGAATTTTTGATTTGTAATCGTAAAACATTTTAAACATTTTGATTTAGTGTATGTATTAAAACAATCTATATACATTTACAGTCATGTTCGCCTAAGTCAAATCTAATGGGACTGCCATAAAAAGTTCGAGTTATACAGATTTCGACTTGCACATTTTCGAAAAAAGAATATTAACATAGAACAATACTATGTGTACTCAATGCCCACAAAATCGAATTTCACGCAAAACCGAACATTTTCTTAAGTCCCAAACTCATTTCTATTCTTCTTTTAATAAAATAATTATGAAGTGAAATTTACGCATTCCAAATTTTTTAATAAGTGTATATTCTTGCTTTTAATCCTTAAAAACCATTTGGAATCAACATGCAATAAAGAGGGAACTCAACAAAGCAAGTTTACACTGGTTACTCTTTTCAGTAGACGTCTAATTCAAATTCGTTAGATTCGTCGGTGTAAATTTCAAATGCACCTCATTCATTCTTCAAACTCAAGACGCTTTTCAAAACATGTTGCTAATTTAATTACGGAGTAAATTTGTAGAGAATAAAATATAATTTGTTAGGTTTATTTAGATTTGACTCTAAAATATACCATGAGGGTTTCTTATTTGTTTTTTTTTTGTTTTGTTTTATAAATTTAAATTTGTTTAATTAAAACATTCTTGATTACACCGAGCTTGTTACTGTCACGATCTGGCGTCATCACAGCCAAAGCACATGTCTAGTCTGCAAAGCACCTCACGAAAATGGACCAATTGGCGGGCAGGAAGAGTTTTTGGGGGCGCGACCTGTTCTGTTTACAACTAGACTGCCGACCAGCAAGTGGCATTTCCCAACGAAGAATGTGTGCTTGTAAAAACATAATCAGACCTAAAGAAATGCATACAAAAACAATATAAAAGTCGCATCGGTTTTATTGGTAATAATTAAATTTGCTGAGCAGTACAGCAAAACAACAGGTACTGTATGTATTATTAAATAACGTGTCAAAAGAATCCAGGGCTTTGATAAATTAATTAAATAGCTAGGCCCTGACTACAACAATCTTGTTCGAAATGGGTTCAGTACAAGTTTTACAAACTAAACTGGACGAAAAACTGAACATAGGAGCCGGTCCGGAGGGGTGTCTGTATTGTGAGAGTAGACTGCAACTTACGACGTACGATCATGTGAGCCAAGTTCCACAGCGCGCTGTCTGAGATGTTAGTTTGACATGGCTAACTTGTTGCTGTACAACAAGGATTGAACATTCGTATTTTCCCATGTCTGTGTATTTTTCCCACGTGCGCTACTAAATTTAGAACTTCGACCTGTGTGGTTGAATTTACTTCAAAATCGACCTATCCGGACAGGAAAATTCCGTCGATGTAGCCGAAATTCGACTTATAAAAATTTGAATTAAACAAACAATTTACACAGTAATACATAGGAAAGAATTGGGATTTTTTCAAAAATTTGACTGACGCAAATTTTCGACTTTAACAGAGTCGACTTTGGCGGACTCAACTTTATATTTAAATTTTTATTTTTAAAATCTTCTTACCGTAGTTGCACAATTAATTGTTTTGTAAAGCACAATTGGGCATGTTTGCATAGCACAGGACTCCTTGGACAAGTTTTCACTTTTATTGGAGGATTCAGTTTTTAATTTTTAATTATAATTTAAGATAGGCCTAGGCATAGACTGATACTTTATGTAGCTTTCTGGAAATTATAGCTAATTTAACATCAAAGTGCAACATTGCATCTTTTAGAAATATCATTGCTGCTTTGAAAATCCTTCCTTTTTTTAAAATTATTATTGTAATTATATTTATAGTATTATAGGCCGATTTATGTACAGTACTACCTTATGGTGTTAGGTCGAAGAAGTACTGAAATCTAGGCCTAGTGGTAGTAGGTGGATTTACTGCGAAGTGCCATGGGGCTGGCGGCACATGCCTTAATTTAATACGTGGATAGCGAGATTTTTCGATCGCCATTCAAATTTTGAATAAAACCCCAAATCCTCCTCCTTTTTGAAATTTAAGGAAATTCATACATTTTTGTTCCTTTGTTGGATCGATTACAGCAACCCCAAACCGAACATAACGGTATTACATTATATAGCATTAATCATCTATCATAACTGCTAACTTCCTATACATGGATAGCGAGATTTTTCGATCGCCATTCAAATTTTGAATAAAACCCCAAATCCTCCTCCTTTTTGAAATTTAAGGAAATTCATACATTTTTGTTCCTTTGTTGGATCGATTACAGCAACCCCAAACCGAACATAACGGTATTACATTATATAGCATTAATCATCTATCATAACTGCTAACTTCCTATCCTAATACGTTCGTTTGTGGCTCGCCAATGTTTTGTTTAGGTAACAACTTGGCCGGTGTAAAGGCCTGTTTATACTTCAACGATAACGATAAAAAAGCTAAAAAGCAATAGTTCATATAGAAAATAAAAGATATAAGAGAAGTTTTTACACTAGAACGATTCGATAACAATTTATCAGCATTTTGACAAATCAAATCAGATGACGTCATAATCATGGAAAAACATTAAAATCGTCGTAATAGCAACGATTTTATCGTTTGTCCATGATTATGACGTCATCTTATTAGATTTGTTAAAATAATTTGTTATTGCATACACGATAAATCGTTATAGAATCGTCCTAGTGTAAAAACTCTTCTTTTGTTTTCTATATGAACAATCGCTTTTTTAGTATTTTTATCGTTATCGTTGAAGTGTAAACAGGCCTTTAGTCATGTGATTGCGATCCACCCAATCACACGCGCGTATAGCAGAATCTTGTGAAACCGAGTTTGCCAAACTCTCTTTATCTACGGCTCTGTGGAGCCCTATCACATTGTTCCCTCCATATATAGTTAACCTCAAATTCTGTATAATTTATCAGGTGGAAAAATAAGAGTAAAAGCCTTGAGCGTGAAAGCAATCAATTCAAGTACAGCACAGGACAGATTAGCCAGCGTAACGAGTCACTTGTGAAAGAGAACGAAGGACTTAAAACGCAATATACAACAGCTACTCAAAGGATGGAGAACCTACACAGAGAAATGAATACTATATTGGTATGTATTGTATTGTTTTACATATACACATGTACATTGTGTTGGGCATGTCAAATCTGTTTGTAAAGGTCTGTTTATAAAGCTCTCTCTACTTGATTTGATCAGGCAGAGGTCATGACTTGATCGTGGCATAGTCTTGCCGAATTTATTTGTGTAAAAAAGTCCTCAAATTTTCTTTACCTGGGTCTAATTGTAAGGATTCAGAGTAGTTTCCTGAACAATATGAGATTTAAAAACCTGTGACACAAAAATACTAGATAGTAGCTAGAATTTACAAATTACCTTCCTTAGTCTTACTGTAGTCAGTATACCAGGGTGGCCTTTCCAGTATTTTGTAACAGCACAGTACTGGAAGCAGATTAACTCGACCCAGTCAAGTCGGCCTCAAGTCAACTTGGCACCATTTCAAATCGGCCCCATGTAAACTCGATAATTATTCTGTAAATACACAATTTGGTGTTTGCCGTTTCTGACCTTTGACATGTTTCAAGGTTATGCCATATGGTCCATATATTTCCACAACCACTGGTGGTAGAGAGTTAATCGTGGTGTCAATTTGTTCGGAAAAGTCATGTTTCTATTTGGCCTACTAAATGAGTTTGCTAAAAAATGACTGGAAATGCCATTTCTGACCTTTGACATATTTTATAACCATTGAGTCGTTATTATCTCCGCAACCACTGGTGGTAGAGAGTTATGTTTGGTGCCAATTTGTTTGGAACCTTCATGTTTCTATTTACTATAATAGACATTTAAAAAAAAAGAGATGAAATGAAGTTTCTAACCTTTGACATGTTTAAATGTCATAGCCGTAGTCCTTATATCTCCTCAACCACTGGTTGTACAGAGTTAATTGTGGTGACAATTTAATCGAACATTCATGTTTCTATTTTTATCTATTATATATCTTTTATATATATCTAATGGAATACGGTAGTTGGTTAAAAGTGGCCGGAAATGCTTTTTCTGACCTTTCACATGCCGACATATATTATTATTATTAAGGCATATTTATGCTTATCTCTGTACATACTTGCTGTGAAGACTTAATATTGATCTCAAATTATTCATTTACACATGTTTCTGTTTAATTTATTATCATTTGTTAAAAAACGTAATATGTTTATATATACTACTGCATATATCTCTACCAAGAGATCCAGGCTTTTTTCCCATAGCATTGTTGTTTTTCAGCACTTTGCCTTTTAATATATATATATA